ATGTCACATGTGGACAGTGTTGGGTTACTATTGGCATGACGGTCGGACTGCCAAGCGGCACAGCAGACCTGACGAAAAGGCAGAGGGTAACCACTGGACGGGATTATGGGTTTGTAGAAAGAAATTAGACTATCTAGCTACCTGGTGAACTCCACTGCCTGGGGAAGAACTGACAAAGTTAATTCAGAAAATGATTTAATGGGTAGCAGAGGTTTGAGACCCTCAGATAAAGTGCTATAAGTTGATCTCCGCCAGGGCTTTATTTGGCCTGATTAGGTCTTTGCATTAGTGCCAACCTGACAGGATTGAGGAGCTCTGTTTCCTAAGCATGCAGTTACTCCTGACATGCTGAATCAATGCCCTTTCTCGCCTATTGGCCCTGATTGCTTTAAATGAGCCATACACAGACCTCTGTTTTCCCAGTATACACTGGAGTGAGTGTATAGCCTGAAGAACCAGTTGGCGTGGCTGATCCACAATATTTTGTGTCGGTAATTTGGGTTCCATGCATGCCTGAGCCCCTTGCGTCAGGTTGAATGTCTGCATGTTGTTAAAGATTTTTTATTTTTTTATCAACTGTGAAATAAAAGAATGAGAAAAAAGTTTTCTTAGTTCCTGAAAAGCCAACATTTTGCAGTTATATGTATATATGTCTCAGCCTCTCTAAGTGCTGTTTAGGATCTTCTGAAAGCGAACCGAGCTCCATACATCTTCAGTACAGGTAGTTTTGGGCCCTGGCAGTTCAGAAACTAGACTCAGAGATTGTGGGCTCTAAGTTGTCCAGACAGGCCGGAGTGTCAGAGGCTCATACGGGTACAAACACATTAATATCAACGTCACTCGCCGCCCGCACCCAGTGCCCAGACAGCTCCAGTTTCAGGCGGCATTCAGAGGAAAAGTCGGGTCATGTGCTGAACCTCAGTTTTAATTAGCTAATGGCACTCCTTGTTTCATCTCCTGCGTCTGAGCTGATTGCTCACAAAAGACTCCATTTACCCCTGAAAACACACGCCATCTTGGCATTAGCCCGCGTTCTGTCTCAACATCTGCTGCCGAGGGATTTTGCCACTCTCCTCCAAAAATCAGTCTAGTAAATCTAAATATATATGTTTGCTGGTTTCACACCAGTGAAAAAAGAGGAAATTCCATGATCTACACTTTTTTCCAGCGGGCTTCGACATCCAACTTTCCTTCAACAAGTGGTTTGACTGAGTGGTCAGGGGTGTGTGTTTTGGTGTTTGTCTGTCTGTGTGTGCACATGTGTATGTGTTTGGACAGTGTCCCATTAAGCAGCTAATGCTGGCTGTGTTTTATCATTGTGAAATGGGAAAGTGGCTCTAACAGATGAGTAACACTAAAGTATGTGAATCTACCCTTTTATGGAGGAATTTTCTTTTGTTTTTCAATAATTTGTCAGTTACATCATCTCAATGGTATGAACCTTGCGAGAAAAAAATAGGACCTTTAATCGAATAACAAAAATAGTAATGTTGCAAACTACCATAGGCATGATGCATAATGAAAACCACCATTAAGATCACTTTACTTACATAAAACTTAATAAGCATGCCATAATAAATTTGTCTTCTCACTCTGGTGCAAAATAAATTGTTAAATGAAGCCTTATACTGTATCTGAGCCAAAACTGTCTTATTTCTAAAAATACTGCATCTTTCCAAAAGATTCTAATTTTGAAATGTAAAGACAGTAGCGTAACAAAACCACTGAATCAGGTTTCATGCCTTGAACCGCCGACTGAATCCTTTATCCCACAACAACATAACCTCCTCTAATAACATTCAAAGCATACTATTGTTTTGAATAGTACCAAAAAAATATGACCAAAAAAAAAAAAAATAACTATGCCAAAGAAACCAAATAAAGTGCACATGGCTGTATTCCTGCCTGAAGTCACTCTGCCATGTAAGCGCTCCTTCCTTTCCACACACAGAGCTTCCATGGTTTAGGGAGATATTTTCTGACCTTCGTAGCTCACAGTCCAGCCTACAGACGCTTCAAATCCGCTGGGCCGGCCTCTGACAAAGCAGAACAATATCAAAGTCTGGGACCATGTCAGGGCTACTCTTGCTGGATATATTTTTAATATTTTATGCAGACACGAGAAAAAAATGTAATAAACTAAAACAACAGGCGAATTAGGCATGAAACACAACAGGATATTGCAAAGAGATTATGCTGTTTCCTTTTCGCCGTGTGTCCTTCAGCGCTTGCCTGCCCTACACAACAGCCCAGGGCCGACTTTAATTGGCGGGGAGAGGGAACCAAGCATATTTTCTGAAAGGTAGCAGAACTTTTTAAGAGCCATGAAATAGCCATCTACATATGGAAGGAACTGACTCTTTTTTTTGGTGTAATTTCTTAAAATATTAGCCAGGTACGGACTGTGACAGGCCCATGCAGGGATCGGGGTACGACTTGTGTATTGTGATAATGACTTTTTCCTGCCAAGACGCAGCGTGAAGCAAATGCTGTGCAGCTGCACGAAGAAAAAGAGATACAGTATATATATATATAGAGACAGACAGTATAGAGAAAAAGGGAAAGGGAGAGGGAGAATGAGAGAGATGTGTTGTGTTTGGATGTGAGGAGAGCCCTGTTTCATGACCGCCTGCTGGAATCTGCCGCTGGAAAGATAATAAAGGGATTAGCTCTGGTTTTTCTAGAGCATTTGGTCCTAAAACAGAATGTCTCATCTGCTTCCTCTGCTACGAATTGCTTGAATTCTTGAATGCCTTTGTCTATTGCATGAACACAACAAACACAAGAAGCATCAGTGCTAGTGGCCAAAAAGCACATAAGCTCAGACAAAAAAAAAAAAAGGATTTGGGATGGACACAACGAAAATACATGAGCATGCACGCTCTTTAAAACACACACAGAGACACTAGGTATCCTATAAGTACTTACTTAAATCCGTATAGACTATATGCAAACACAAACACGGTTACAAATACACACAGAGAGCGCGTTTATTTTCTCTGGCCCTCCAAGTTTATCTGCTGAAGTCCCACATCAACATACATTCAATCTCCGCTGATTAGACGTGTTGATTCAAGCTTGAAAACATTTCACATTTCTGTTTATGTTTCTGTCGGAAAAGTACGAGTGTTACAACCCAACGTACTGTACATGGAATCAATACTTCCTATTGTGAGAGAGAGTCAATGGAAACAATATCCCCATTTTCACATTACTGCATGGCTGTTTGTGTGTGTGTGTGTGTGTGCTTGAAATAAGGGCGATGGGGAGGTTAGGGTGTGTAGCGGAGTTTCACACTGCTTCATGTCCGCAGACAGAGTCCAGTGGCTTGTCCACACTGAGCCGAATTGTTCCAGTGCTCACATATGGTAAACATCTCCAAAAAACACACATAAACACACCCGCTTCACAATGACGCATTCATGCATATACCTATACTGTACGCACACATACAAATGTTCACTCAGTGTATGTTTTCTGTGTGTCACCCAAAATGTGACTTTAGTCCTTGTTGAACTAAAGCTACAACAGCACAATGCTGCAAAGAGCAAAACAACTGCGAAAAAAAAGACAAATGAAAGCCTTTAATACGATACACTCCTAAAGAATTAACAGTTGGGGAACGTACAAAGCAGCAAATTACTTCCAAATTTTTCGTTCACGCTGAGCCAAGGAAGCAGAAACACTAATACCCTGGAGTGACGCAAAGCAGGGAGAACAGCAGCAACAGTTGAGTTTGTGTCTTTTTGGCTACAGCATCGAGCTCAGATGTGCACTAACAAGTATCAGAATCAGTCAGATTCAACATGAATTTCTTATCCAACTCCACAGAAAACTGCCATAAAACACAACTTTCTATTAACAGACCCTCACCTCAGCTAATTTTACAAGCCACTATTATTTAGAAAAATAAACAAGCTCTGGATTTGTTTTTCTTTTAAGAAAAAAAAGGCCTTGAGATAAAACAGGTGCTGTAGCAATATTGCAGACTCAGTTTTTCAATAATTAGGATTTGGAAGGGTTCCTGAACTTGAAGAGGACCACTTCTGACAGGGGCTTTGGGTGAAGCCGTGAATTGAGCAAGACTAGCAAATGTTACCGACTATCCCTCTGTGGCTCCCTTCTCCAGACTACTACATTTCTCCTCATGTTTGGCTTGGATATGAAGCCAATTCACTTAATACTTGTGGGACAGCTAAACATTTAAAGCTCCCATTTAAAAGGATCAAGTGTAGGCATTGTTTGGTTATGTTAACCATATGTGTTGGCTTTTCATGATCTGAATCCCTTCTCAAAAAACAGAGTGCTCGTGAAAATAAACATGGCTTCGCCCTACACAAATTGTGGACTAATTGTGTATTTGGACTAAATCATTCTTAAGGTTGGAGGGCTTTTTCCATTTGCTAAGGGACGCCGGGGAGTGACAGCTTGACATTGATTAGTGTGTTCACTTGTGCAATTGGAGCCTTACCTGTAAAGAATACAACCACAAATCTATTTATACTGACATGGTAGTGCTGCTCATACAGCAGCTCACATCTTCAGTGGAAAAAAATATCTTCTTTTTTTTTTTTACACATGTTCCACTAAAAATACAGGAATTACAATCATAACTGTTTCTCAACCAAAACAAAATAACAGTTTATGTTGAAAAGTAATCAGCAGTGAAGCAAGTCCAGTCTTGTTTTTGGACAAAATGGATGTGTATCTTGTTGAGGAAAAATCATCTTGAGGGACTGTATTGCTCTGTGCTTGTGTTTAATTCAAACAAAAAAACATTTTTTTTAACAGATGGTTGCAATTATGGGACAAACTAGACCCATATTAAATCAATAAATACAACCTAATACTTAAGAAAAGAAGAAAAAATGACTAAAAGTAAGACTATGAGGGGATTTTCAACAATATTGGGTGTATGTGTTGTGTATATAACTGACCGCTGTTTTTTTGGGGTCTGGCCAGTGCTGGGTGGATAATCTTACAGGATTAAGATGACTCACCATACACTTGTTGGGTTTCTCTCCGGAGTGGACTCTCATGTGAATGAGCAGCTTGTAGCGAGCGTTGAAGGGCTTGTAGCGGCGAATGCAGCCAGCCCAGAAACAGGTGAAGTCCTCACCTTTGCGCTGGTCGATGTGGACTTTCTCAATGTGCCTCACAAGCTCCTCCTGCTGCTCGTAAGCAGCACTGCAGTCAATCCAGCGACACACTTGCTTATCGCCCAGTGCTCCTCCTCCGATTTCTTCGCGCTCTGGGGCTGTGTGAGACCCCGGTGGGCCCCCAGAGGTTTGTTTGAGTCCCAGGGAAGAGGGTGGTGCTGTTTGCTGGCTCTGGTGGTGCAGCAGGCCCCCAGGGCTGGGCCCCACGTATTGGTGCAGGTGATAGGGCGGAGGCATAGCGGGGCGAGAGGGGTGATGAGGGTGGCGAAGGTGCCCGCTACGACCACTCAAGTGATGGTGATGATGATAGTGGTGCTGAAAGAGTTCTTCTTCACTGGGAGAAAAATCGTCCAGGGGCTCCTGCTTGAGGGCAGATCTTTGGCCTCCGTCCAGGAGAGCCCCAGCTTCAGGCCCCGAATGCAGCATCCCAGACATCAGGGCCCCATTCATCAGTAGCCCCAACCCGTCCGGGCCTCCTCCTCCTCCTCCTCCTCCTCCCACACCTCCCCCAGCTGTTCCTCCAGCCCCACGCCCCTGGAGCATGGAGCCCTGCTCCTCACACAGCCCCTGGCTCTGGCCCTGCTCCGGCTCCACTGATGACACGGAAGAGGAGGACGAGGAGGAGGAGGAGGAGGAAAGGGACAGCAGGCAGGTGGCAGGTGAGGACAGCTGACAGCTTTCCTGTAGCGTGGCCTGTTTGGGGCTGCCGTGTGGTGGGGGCCTCTGGGGGGCTTCCCGTGAGCAGGAGTTAGAGGGTGGGGATGTAGAAGAGGAGGAGGAAGAGGAGGAGAAGCCGGCACTGCTGGCGTGGTTGGGCGAAAGGTTAGTGCGGAACCCGTTGACGCAAGCAACCATCGACATCTGGGAGGAGGAGCAGATGATGGCGGTGATATTGATCTCCTCGGAAGCAGCGCCAGTAGCTGATGGGGAACCTGTGGCAGCAATGCTGCCAGCAGCGGCGGTGGACTGTGAGGCCAGGGACAGGCAGCGTCTCTTCAGACTGCTAGCACTGAGCAGCCGCGCTGAATGACGGGAGCCAGTTGGGGACAAAGCCAGAGGGGAGGAGCCATCTTCATTATTAAACGGTTGCACTGCGTCCCCTGACACAGCACTACCTACACCGTTCACTGTGCACACGCCACTACCGTTGTTGCTAACGTGCGGGGCTCCAACTATCTCGTCCCTTGTCAACCCCAAAACTTGGCCTGCCCTACAGTTTTGAAACCCGGCCTGAGACGTGCTGTGGACCCTGGACCCTGTGTTGGAGATCTTGTAGCCCATTGTGTTCTCCTGTTTGATTGAGTAAGGGAGAGAGGAGTGAGCCCCGTTGGCACTGCCGCAGCACAGCCCAGGTGAGGCCCCCGGCAGGGTCCTCTGGAAGCCAGAGGAGGATCTGTAAGGAGAAAAAGACACAGAGGGGAATATGAGCGCTATTAGCTCACAGGCTGATGACAGATACTGGCTGGTTGATCCTTCCCACCAGCAGCACTGTCAGAGTAGAGCCTCATGCTTACCCCTCCTCCTCCAATCATTATCTCAGTTTACATCGAAATCATCCTAAATAAGTCCCACTGACCTAAAATATTTTAACCAAGGCTCTCGTTCATCGCAAGGGACCTTGGACCTTGGAACAAACATTAACACTGTTGAGGCCATGTTAAAGCTTCAGTGACATATGGTGATGTTGGACAACAGGTAGTATCCACGGCTGATGATCCCAAGTGTTTTTATGAATAAATGAAACAGAATCTTCTGGTAGTGAGAGGATATGAATGGGCATTTATGACTAAGAATAGACAGAGGGGGAGGGATGGATGGCGACTGAGACCGAGAGGCCACTGGCTAGTGTGTCCATCTGACAGGCTTTGATGACACAAAGGGGTTAAACCCAACCCAACATTGGAGATAAATAGGGAGTCACCTGTTTTGGTGGCATAATTGCAGCCTATGAAGGGTCAGCGTTTACAATACTGTGTATTATGGTGGGAATCTTTGCCCTGCTGAATGGGGAACCCAGGTCAGATTTCTCCATGCGTTGCTGTGATCTCCTACATAATCATTCCTGTCAGTTGGCTCATTATGGATTTTGTCCAAAGCCCCTGAGTGATGTGAGAAGAGCTCTCTTTTCTCCGGGCTGTCTCATGAAGGAATTGTCTTTGTCCCTTCCCCTGAGCATGCTAGGGAAAAACTGAGCTAACGCTAGCTAGGATTGGAGAGAGGCCACTGGCAGACTTTGTCATCGTTGTTGTTAATAAAGACTTGATCCCCCCCTCTCTTTCTATTCAGGAGCACCATTTCCTGTTTGGCTGTAGTGAAAATATTGAGAGACAATATGAGAAGAGTGAATGTCTGTCCAGAAGCACTTTTGGTCAGATGACTAAGGATAGAGGGAAAGAATTGAGGAGGGGGAAGAAGAAGGACAAACCCCACAACAGAGAACTTCAATGGAAATTCTTTCTAACTTCACGAACAGTAGTTGCACAACAGAAGAATCACATTAGTGTAACATAAATGTTGTACTTGGACCACTTGATATGTTTTATGAGAGCAGGTAAAGCTTTCCAGCTACATACTGTATGTATGCATCTGATTCAAAATAGCAAAGATAATGAAGAACACATTGTACCTGCAAATTGTTAGTAATTCAATATCCAACAGGAAACATTCAAAACTCGAACAGGAATAAAACCATTTTAAAACAGCAATGATAGCGACAGTTTACCTGGTGTCTTGGTGAGGGCCGTCCTGCATAAGGAGGTCAGCCGTAGGTCTGTCGCAGGGGAGGCTCTGGGTATAAAGCCCCCCTAAATGACCCCCCACCAGCAGTGGCAAGCTCTGCCCACATCGCATCAGAGCGCCCTCAGCGTCACCCAGCTCAGCGTCTACATTCTTCTCTGAGCAGTAGGCCCCATTCACTGAAAGGAAAGCAGGAGAAATATCACTATACTTGCTAAATCCTTGATAGGAGTGTTGTTTTGGTTAGAAGAGCAGTGACCCAGTGTCACTCTCAAATTAAAAAACTGGCTAAAGCAGACTGGACCAAGTGATCTACTAACTACCCTGGAAGAATAATCAGTTCATAGTGGGATCCATGCCATCAGTGACATGTTGAAACCCTATTAGAGTATATATTCTCCTGAGGAATAGCAGTTGGCTGCCACAACTGTAGTATCTTGTGATATATGGAGAGCTCTTCGGCAAAATCCAACTGGTGACAGTAAGAATAACGCTGGAGAGATTTATTACCAAATATTATTGCTGGAGTAATGGAGGAATTGTATTCCAAATGGCGATGCGTCCATTTTGGAAAAATAAACTAACTCAAATTAATGTGTCCGGATGATTCAGCCAGTAAAAGTGTAACCGTTGTATCAATCAAGAATTTAAATTACATACCGTCCTTTTAAGTTTATCATCAGTTGTTCTAATGTTATGCAATCAATCATCTTGCGAAAATGGTGACCTCATTAATTGATTTAATTCTTAGTCATTTTATTTATTTAATTGGTGAATTATTAATTTTAGAAAAAACACTTTGCAATTAGACTGTGGTGGAAGTACTTAGTGATTTAATCTAGAAGTGCTACACCAAGGGCTTGGACTTTCTATTATTAAAGATGTTTCACCGCTCATTCAAAATTCCTCTTTTGTGATTTAAGGTTTCATGCACTTTCTTGCGCTCACATGCAAAAAAAAGTAAGTTGGTGTGGTGGAATAATCATTCATAACTAATGTTTCATATCTGCATATTGCCTGTTTTGTGAATTACAATGCATGGGGAAATTAATTTGTTATTAAATTCAAATCTGCTATTTCTTCATATGTATTTACTTTTTAAAATCAACTATAGTGTCTTTTATTCCTCAGGCACAAGCCATATTAATTTATGTATTTTATGTATGTATGTATGTATGTATGTATGTATGTATGTATGTATGTATATATATATATCTGATAGGAAACAAAGACTTTATGAATGAAAAACATCATAAAAATAGGAAAGAGAGATGAAAGTGAGGGAAGAGAGGGCCTTGGTGTATGAGGAAATATTTGTGAAGGGTAAGCCGATATCCCCACACACTGATGTGTAAGCGGCCACGCATCCCCTGTTCCAAATTTCCTAACTCAATTTCTCAAATTCAATTTTCTCCTAATGATGTTATTGACAATGTTATCACAAACCATGAGCTATTATTAATAAAGTCACCCAAACACCCTGTATGTGAGAGAAAACATAAAAAGGTACAGGAAATGAATGCACAGAATATAAAGGGCAAAAAATTAACTAAATGTCAAAATAGTGTGAGAAATATTCAGCAAAAATAAGGATTTGGGCTACAGATGAAAAAGGGAAAAAAAGACAAACAAAGGAGAAAGATATTACAACATGAGTAACAGATGGAGAGGGAGAGTAAACAGTAGAAGAGAGAAAAGGAGGACGTGTTTTGGAATATGGGAAAAAAAGTTACAAGGACGAACAAAAGACAAGAGAAAACAAGGGAACTTTGTGAGCCATGTTATCATCGGTTTAAGGAACATCTCTTCACATATCCCGCCTACAGCTGATGTATCATTAATCTCCTTTGCATTTGTCTTGTCACGGGTCACAGCAAAAACACAAAGAAGTGGAGAAAAGGCAAAGCGAGCAATGCAAACAGCCCAGTATCGCCAGGGGACCGTAGGAACAACGCTGGTTTCACTCAAGGCCGTTAACAGAAGGCAAGATGTCTTTCAGCTCTGGTCTGTTTTCAAGCAATACAAATCGTTCTGTTTACCAAATTCTGGATTGTTCAGTGTTTTTTGTTTTACTTCTTTTCTTTTTTCACTGCTTGTTGGCCGAGCATGTACAACTTTCTGTATGAAAGTTTCAAGGCCTGCTGACGTGAAGCCAAGTGTTTCCCTGCCTCGAGTCAGGAGTAATTCAATCAGGATGGCCAGAAGTGACATGAGTCAGGATGGAGATGACTAACATCATCAGAGATCTTTTAATTAGGCCTTGACTGTCCGTATGCATGCACACAAAAACACAAACAACCAAATAAAAACATTATCATCATAAAGCCCTGGATGGACTGGCAGTCAGTCAATGAGGCCTTGACTGGATGCACATGCTCTCTCTCACACACACATATCATAGTCACCACCATATAAAACACAGACCCAAGCCAGGCAGCCCGGTAAATGTAACCACAATTATGAGACTATACTCTTTCAAAGTGTATTACTCTGTTCCACAATACAGAATGGAGTCCACCATGTAAATGAGTTAGAAACAGAGAGAGGACAGAGATGATCCATGACCACTGATTACCTGTCTGCAAAGTATTTTACTAAAACAGACTGATAATACAACCAATGTTATCCAGCACGATTTATTCGGAAATATCACTTGAAAGAGTCTTCACTGGCCAAAATCATTGCTATATTCTGTAGCTATATTGATACTCAATTGTTTTTTAAGTAAAATGTACTGGTACTGGGCTCTCTATTGAGCCTCAATACTGGACACAAAATACACTAAATGTGTCTGTAGAACCACTTCTAAAATCCAATTTCTAGTCAGATTCATAACCTTTTTTTTTACACTATTAATATAATATAATATTTAAAGTTCTTCTTCATAGCAACATTAGCATTCATTTGGAGTTTCCACCTGATGAATGTAAATCCAGTATCCACTCTCCATTTAGCTCTCAGTCAGCTGTCACTGACTCCTGAGGGAAATATCTCACTTTTTAGCGACTAAATGCTCCAGTATGTTCAGTTAGTCAATAACTTTGTCTACCTGCTGTTTGCTGCTGGGCGAGTAGCAGAAGTCAGTTTTAGAGCTTTTTCACTTAAAATAACTGCCCTGAGCTATAGAGCTGAAACTGCAGAGTCGGATGTGATAATGACCTGTGGGTATGTCACAACGAGCGATTCCTTTCACATGTGAGCAGTCATGTGATCCATTGTTAATATAAAAATATTGATTATAGTTGCTGTAAATCACAAACCAGGACCAGAATGGACAGATTAACCATTAGGAGTAACAATGCATCATTATTAATTTCTGGATTTTCAAAATGGCTCTTGCTGCTACTTGGAGCCACCAATGTAAAACAACCTACAACAGCTTTAAAGTCACATTTGTTTGTAAGATGTTTTCTTGTTATGTTCTTTCCAAGGAAGTACTTTTTCTGGATTTTTTGCCTCCTCTGAGCATATCACTTTCACATGTGTTTTAATTGCATCTAGGAGTTTGCCTGACAATTTATGGCCCAGTCATCAACCAGTTTGGAGAAAGACAGTGTATGTCACTGAAACTCTTCCTGCATGACTTCAATTTACTCTTTCAATTACAAACAGGTAATAGTACTTCCAAAAAGGGCGAAAAAAAATAAATATATGTGACGGGTGTTGCATTGTGTTGCAAAAGCTCAAGTGGACTAAAGTGTCTTCATCCAAGAGACACCTTCTAAGTGTCTCCAGGACATTAAAGAGTGTTAAATAAGTGTTAAAGGTCCTGATCCCCCTGCTGCAGAAAGTTAGCGCTCCAGTGATTTAGAGCTTTGCTACATTAACAGAATCAGTCATGCTCAGGTTGGGGAAACAGGCTTCTCAACATATGGTGGCTTGGATGGGACCCAACAGTAAATTCAGTTTATATTGAATGTGCCATGGTAATTTAGCGTTGAACTTTTCATTGTGTGTTAGATCCTAGTTTGATCAGGAGGTGGAGGCCAAGAGAGAGCATCGGGGGCTGAGGTGAAACGTAAGACCATCCAGAAGTAGTGACAGGAAGGGAGGGAGGGAAAGAGAGAGAGATAGACAGAGACACAGAGAGAGAGACCGTAGAGAGTATTTGTGTGTTTGTGTGTGTTTATGTGAATGAAGGAGAGACCGTGAGAGAGAAAAAAGAGAGAGAGAGAGATTACCATTCTTCTTTTAAATGTGCCGAGTTTATGGGTGGTCTGCTGAGTAAGCCAGCTGTGTGTTCATCATACTTTACATTCCTTTGGCTCTGTATTAGAATTTTTTCCATGTTACATTCTGGGGAAAACTTTAAAGAAAAATACATATCTCCCTGTGTAATCCACTGACATAATTAACAAACAAAAATTCAACATACCATGTGGTTATTGACCACTAGTAACGCTATGGAGAATTGTTTTTACGAGTGGGTCCCTGTTTTGTTAGTATCATACACGTGCACAAACGATACGATACACATTCCTACCACTGGTTTCATGCTATTCCACTGATGAACAGTTGGTGTTAAAGAAAACTCCTATCAAGTAACCATGGATGTAAAAACAATACAGTTTTAAAAAATGAATGTAAATACAACTTTTGTTTGTTCACGCGAAAAAGTGGAACCTATCAATGGACCTCAATCTGCAGGCACAATACATACAGTTAATCTCTGCAGATTACCTATGGAAACAGAGTTCAGTATTGTGTGACCACCGTAGAACAACCAGGGTGGGAGGATGCTCTGATGTACACAGTTGCAAGCATTCAGACCCAATTAGGAGTGACGCTGTAAGGGCGTGAGATCAGGGACACAGGGGCAGAAAGAAAGACAGAGAAAGAAAGAGGTAGGACGGTGCCAGAAGCACCAGGGGCAAATGTTGTGTTCAGTACAGAGACCATATACAGATGTGCTGGCTCATCCTCACAAAGAGCCACTGATGTTAGCATTGCCAACTAAAGATGCAGGCACAAATAAGGACTCTATTGTTATCTGCTTCTTAAAACACCACCCTCAAAAAATAAATTAAAATCCCTCTTAGAACATGGATTGTGGACAAGAAACAACTCATGTTGATAACATGCTGTCTAATAATACTATGTTACATCTAAAGTGGTGTCTTCCGTTCCATAAATGTCATCACATGGTATCTATTCACTCGCTCTGCCTCCTCTCCTCTTC